CTTTCCGTTTTCTATGACAGAAATATTATTAAATACAGTATGGCCATCTATTTACATATAAATACTGAATTTCTGGAAAATATATACAGTATTTTCCACAGATGCTGTACCAACTCATTTTTTTATTATTGCTTTTATTATAGAGCAGATAACAAGACTGAGCGTTTTGTTCATCACGCTTCTCTATTTTTCACTGAAGACGGTTCTTTGGCTGCAGCCTTGAAAGGCTAATTTGCAGCAGTAGGCGTATTAAGAGTATTGTTAACCTTACATATAATTATTTGCTTGATTACAGTCATACGAAATTATTAACTTTTGACAATATTGCAATTTCAGCTCACTTTTGATTACTAGCTTTCTTTAAAGTGAAGTTAGGCGAAAACTTCGTTGATGTAATTACATTCTTCCTCGAGAGACGCGGGAGTGGAAGATATCTTTTGTGTTTTTAAGAAGAATTCGATGATGATCTTACGTTTGGTTCTGTCGTCGGAATGCGATTAATAATGTAGAAGGTCATTTTTATTTGTTGGTTTGGGGTAGATTCTGAAATCAATTTTATCGCCTTCTTTTCGAATCAACGCGTCCAAGAAAGGAATCTTTTCGTTTTTTTTTCCATTAATAGTAAATTTGATGGAAGGTTCCACCGAATTGATGTTCGTGGGGACATTTAACAGAAATAAAAATTTCACACTATTTTTACCCATAAAAGGAGGGAATTGCATTTACACACATGAATTTTACTCCCTTCCATCGTAGAATTAGGAGGCACCTTTTTTTTGGGTTTGCAGAAATGCTATTGAGAGTTTTAGAGTTAATCAGAGTCATTCCTGGATGATGGGAATGGGTTCAACAAGTTTGGACATAGGGCACATACACATGCCGATTATTCAAAGAACCATGACCTAGTTACACTACACAAACACTGAAAATTTTAAGCCTATCAGATTAGGCCTCCTCGATTTATGAACGAAAGAAATAAGAAAGGTTGGAAGAAAAAAAATCTGACAATCACTCTGGTCCCCCTTCAGTGATATCTAATTATGGACAGAAATAGGTAAGGTAATAATAGGCAATAACATATTTTAAGAAAAAATAAAACAAATAAATACAAGAGATATGATATAGGGCATTATAGCAGCACTTTGTTTAGATTGTGTTAGTAGATAAAAGGTTGATGGATAGACTTCTGGATGTGTATGTTTATCAAGGAGTCTCAGGCGTACAAGATTATTATTTATTTGTAAGAGAAGATAGAGTATAAAGAAATATCAACAGTGGGTAAAAGTGAAATGAAAGTGAATAAATTAAAGGAGATAGGGTAAGATACTACCAATTATGGGAGACAGGGGACTAGGAGAGTTTTATCTAGGCTGGAATATTGCTGCACACTAACAACACTTTCAAGGCAGGTGAAATTGCTGACCTAGAAATGTACAGAGAACCTTCACGTCGCGCATAACGGAGATAAAACACCTCAATATATATATGTATATATATATATATATATATATATATATATATATATTATATATATATATATAATATATATATTTATATATATATAATAAATTTAACTCACCTGTCGTTTCCCACCGAGGCAGAGCAGCCAAAAAGGAAAATAACACTTTCGCCATAACTCACTCCATTACTGTCTTGCCAGAGGTGCATTGATACTACAGTTCAAAACTACAAATATCCCCACCCCTCCTTCAGAGTGCAGGCACTGTACTTTCCCATATCCAGGACTCAAGTCAGACTAACTGGTTTCCCTGAATCCCTTTATAAATGTTACCTTGATAACACATCAACATCATGTCAAATCATAAAAACCGCTTGCCTCTACTCACTCTCTCACACACGTTTGCTGGATGTTAAAGCCCTTCGCACACAACCTTTCTCAGGACGACCCCTACCCCGCTTTTGCTCCAATACAGATTTAAGCGCCCTCCATGTCATCCTAATTTGTTCCATCCTCTCTACATGTCCAAAGCACCTCAAATTCCCCTCTTCAGCCCTCTGTATAATGCTTTTAGTAATCCTGCACTTCCTAATCTCCAAGCTATCAATTATCTGCATAATATTCACACCATACATTGCCCTCAGACACTTTATCTCCACTGCCTCGAGCCTCCTCATTGCTGCAACATTCACGCTTCATACAACAATACTCTCATATATTCCCTTCTTTTGCCTCCATGGATAACGTTCTTTGTCTCCACAGGTGCCTCAATGCACCGCTCACCTTTTATCCAAGGCAGTTCTATGGTTCACTTCGTGTTTCATAGACCCGTCTGCTAACGAGTCCACTAACAAATATCTGAACACATTCACTTCCATATATATATATATATATATATATATATATATATATATATATATATATATATATATATATATATATATATATATATATATATATATATATATATATATATATGCAATAAGATCACAGTAAACAGGTGATTTCAAAATATGCAAAACAACCACTCTGAAAGAATAGAGAAATTCCAAGCGCTTTCGTGACTACTCACATTATCAAGGAACTATGAAAGTGAAGCATCCAAGGAAGCTATATAAGGAGCTCCGGCCAGCACCTCACTATCAGATCCCACAACGGTTAAACACCTGACGCACGCCGACCCAACTTGGATAGGTCCTTTGCAAAACTCACCCCCAAGCTATTTATTTGTCCAGTGTATTATTAAATTCTTCCCAAATTCTATTAATTATAAATGGATCTAATTTATATAAACCAAAGGAAATATTCATATTATTGTCAAAACTGCTTTTTATGAAACAAGATTCAATTATATTCCTGTCGACCATGGACTTGCTTGATACTACTTTCTCAACTTTTTGAAAATCAATTGGATGGTTAAAATCTCTTACATGAATAAATAGAGCATTGGAATCTTGTCCAGTTCTAATGCTATATTTATGTTGTTTTAATCTTAGTTCGAGATTTTTACCAGTTTGACCGTAATAAACTTTATCGCAAATTTTACAAGGAATCTTATAGACACATCCATCAGCATTTTGGGGGGAATTCTTAATCAAAAGTTTTTTTACTGTATCAAGATTTTTGAATACAACTTTAATATTAAAAGTCTTAAGAAGAGAAGGCATATCAACCAAGTTTCATGGTAAGGAGAACCAACATATTTTTAGTTGAATAAGGCTGGTTGCCCCTTTTTGGATTATAAAAAGTGTTTCTAGCAACTTTAAAAGATTTATCAATTACATTTCTTGGGTATTTTAAATCATTACCTATTTCATAAATTTTGGATATTTCCTCATCTATGAACTCAGGACTACAAATTCGTAAAGCTCTCAAAAACATTGATGAGAAAACAGACAGTTTGACTCTATCTTGATGCGAGGAATAATAGTGGACATAGGAACAGTTATTTGTAGGTTTTCTGTAAATTTTAAATTTGAATTCATTATTACCCTTAATAATTAAAACATCTAGAAAAGGCAATGAGTTATTTTCATCAAACTCAACAGTAAAGTTTATAGAATGGGCTAAGCTATTAAATATTAAATTAAATAGCTTAGCCCATTCTATAAACTTTACTGTTGAGTTTGAAGAAAATAACTCATTGCCTTTTCTAGATGTTTTAATTATTAAGGGTAATAATGAATTCAAATATAAAATTTACAGAAAACCTACAAATAACTGTTCCTATGTCCCCTATTATTCCTCGCATCAAGATAGAGTCAAACTGTCTGTTTTCTCATCAATGTTTTTTGAGAGCTTTACGAATTTGTAGTCCAGAGTTCATAGATGAGGAAATATCCAAAATTTATGAAATAGGTAATGATTTAAAATACCCAAGAAATGTAATTGATAAAATTTTTAAAGTTGCTAGAACACTTTTTATAATCCAAAAAGGGCAATAGCCCTTTTTCAACTAAAATATGTTGGTCTTCCTCTTACGCGTCAGTGTTTAACCGTTGTGGGATCTGATATTTGAGGTGGTGGCCGACCCCTTATTTTAGCTTCTTGGATGCTTCACTTTCATAGTTTCTTGATAATGTGATAGTCACGAAAGCGCTTGGAATTTCTCTATTCTTTCAGAGTGGTTGTTTTGCTATATATATATATATATATATATATATATATATATATATATATATATATATATATATATATATATATATATATATATATATATATATATATATATATATATATATATATATAATATATATATATATTATATATATATATATATATATATATATATATATATATATATATATATAATATATATATATATATATATATATATATATATATATATATATATAAAATATATATAGATTTATGCATATTATATACAATTAAATATCATAATAATAGAAATAGATGAGATCATATATACAGAATAACCAGAGTGTAAAACCATCATAATATCCTCTAAGCACTTTACCTAAGGAACATCAGAGAAGACATTTGCTTTCTGAAGTACTTTGATCTTTTGACTATATTTTTCACAGAAATTATCATGCATGTATACAGAGAACCTTCCTTTGGGTTACATGCACGAATATTTAATGTCCGAAGTAGTTCATAGGAGATAGTTTTAAGTTGTTGCCAGGAGAAATTCCTCGCGATATTTTCAGATAGATTGCCCAATTGGTACCTGCACGGTTCAACAGCAATGTAAACTTTTGTTCATATCGGATACACGAGTGTTGACACTTGAAGCCGTTTAAAGATTCATTCTCAAGTTATCACAATAGTACAGTAGCACTACTGAGATGTATAATATTGGTACACTGTCATCAGCACACTTTCTTGTAAGAAAGATACACCAGAATTGAGTCTCAGACCGAGCAGCAGGGGCGTTTCTAAGTTATTGCAAGCAAGCTTTGGAAGACTTTTTTTTAACAGTTACTGTTAGCTAAACCCCCCTAATAAACCTTGCTGTGTGAGAAATTTATCACCCGTGAACTACATACGTCAAGTAGGAGTACACAGCTGCACTACACGTTAGTGACTATATAAGCGCCAGGTGACCCTTCCATCCTGGACACAAGCTAAACGACAGCATTAAAACCAGCAGCTGTTCCAGGTCGGGTCCTAGAAAAGTTATTCTTTCAGTAGCCATCATAACAAGATTTTGTGTCCACACCCTCCTGCTTGATAACTGCTACATCCAGTAAAATCTCACAACACCAACCATGACGTATCACTCATCTTCCCTTTTTGTAAGTATTAAAAAAGGAACTTATATGAGCAGTCTCATATGTGTGTGTATATATATATATATATATATATATATATATATATATATATATATATATATATATATATATATATATAATATATATATATATATATATATATATATTATATATATATATATATATAATATATATATATATATATATATATATATATATATATATATATATAATATATATATATATATGCAATAAGATCACAGTATACAGGTGATTTCAAAATATGCAAAACAACCACTCTGAAAGAATAGAGAAATTCCAAGCGCTTTCGTGACTACTCACATTATCAAGGAACTATAGTTCCTTGATAATGTGAGTAGTCACGAAAGCGCTTGGAATTTCTCTATTCTTTCAGAGTGGTTGTTTTGCATATATATAATATATATATATATAATATATATATATATATATATATATATATATATATATATATATATATATATATATATATATGTCGTGCCGAATAGGCAGAACTTGCGATCTTGGCTTAAATAGAAACGCTCATCTTGCCATATAGGACAAGTGAAAATTTGTGTATGCAATAATTTCACCAAAATCATTCTGAACCTAACGAAAAAATATATTTCACTGTGTTTGTTTAGTATTAAATTATTGTAAACAAATCTAAAATATATTTAGTTGGGTTAGGCTAAAATAAATTGTCTTATTATAAAAAGGTTAGGTAAGTTTTTTAAGATTCTTTTGGTGTAAAATTAATTTTTTTTACATTAACATTAATGAAAAAAATATATCTTTAAACATATAAGAGAAAATTTTAGAAAGGACTAAATTTTAAATGAGTTCTTGCTAATTGACCAGTTTTACATATTCGGATAGTGATGATAGTGAGGCTCAGGTTAGGGTGTGTAGAAGAGAGGGAGACTACTTCCCGGTAAAAGTAGGTCTTAGACAGGGATGTGTAATGCCACCATGGTTGTTTAATATATTTATAGATGGGGTTGTAAAAGAAGTAAATGCTAGGGTGTTCGGGAGAGGGGTGGGATTAAATTATGGGGAATTAAATACAAAATGGGAAGTGACACAGTCACTTTTTGCTGATGATACTGTGCTTATGGGAGACTCTAAAGAAAAATTGCAAAGGTTAGTGGACGAATTTGGGAATGTGTGTAAAGGCAGAAAGTTGAAAGTGAACATAGAAAAGAGTAAGGTGATGAGAGTATCAAATGATTTAGATAAAGAAAAATTGGAAATCAAATTGGGGAGGAGTATGGAAGAAGTGAATGTTTTCAGATATTTGGGAGTTGACGTGTCAGCGGTTGGATTTACGAAGGATGAGGTTAATCATAGAATTGATGAAGGAAAAAAGGTGAGTGGTGCATTGAGGTATATGTTATCTAAGGAGGCAAAGAAGGGAATGTATGAAAGTATAGTAGTACCAACACTCCTATATGGGTGTGAAGCTTGGGTTGTAAATGCTGCAGCGAGGAGGCGGTTGGAGGCAGTGGAGATGTCCTGTCTAAGAGCAATGTGTGGTGTAAATATTATGCAGAAAATTCGGAGTGTGGAAATTAGGAGAAGGTGTGGAGTTAATAAAAGTATTAGTCAGAGGGCTGAAGAGGGTTTGTTGAGGTGGTTTGGTCATTTAGAGAGAATGGATCAAAGTAGAATGACATGGAGAGCGTATAAATCTGTGGGGGAAGGAAGGCGGGTAGGGGTCGTCCTCGAAAAGGTTGGAGGGAGGGTGTAAAGGAGGCATTGTGGGCGAGGGGTTTGGACTTCCAGCATGCGTGCGTGAGCGTGCTAGGAGTGAATGGAGACAAATGGTATTTGGGACCTGACGATCTGTTGGAGTGTGAGCAGGGTAATATTTAGTGAAGGGATTCAGGGAAACCGGTTATTTTATATAACCGGACTTGAGCCCTGGAAATGGGAAGTACAATGCCTGCACTCTAAAGAAGGGGCTTGGGATATTGGCAGTTTGGAGAGATATATTGTGTATTTTTATACGTAAATACTTGTAAACTGTTGCATTCTGGGCACCTCTGCAAAAACAGTGATTATGTCTGAGTGAGGTGAAAGTGTTGAATGATGATGAAATTATTTTCTTTTTGGGGATTTTCTTTCTCTTTGGGTCACCCTGCCTCGGTGGGAGACGGCCGACTTGTTGAAAAAAAATATGCACTATATATATATATATATATATATATATATATATATATATTATGCAAAACAACCATATGACTACTCACTTATCAAGGAACTATCATAGTTCCTTGGTAAGTGAGTAGTCACGAAGCGCTTGGAATTTCACTACTCCGTCATAGTGGTTGTTTTGCATATACATACACACACACAACACACACACCACACACACACACACACACACAACACACACAACACATTAATATATAACACATATATATATATATATATATATATATATTTATATATATACATAATATATATATATATGTATATATATTACTAGTCAAAAGTACGTTACTGATAAGAACTGACTAATTTTAATTTGATAAATACAATGATAAATCTGAAATAATTTCATATATAAATTTTGCAGATAAGTGGTGTGGTTGTGGTGTTCTCCGTACTGTTGTACACTTGTATGTAAGTATGGTTCACTCTATCTTGTTTTGTCTTTGGTTCTGTTACATGTTTATCAATGATTTTGTTACAAGATTTACCAGGGATACTGTTAAATGATTCACTGGTGCCTATAACTTGATTCACTGGTAATTCAGTCTCATGATATACCAGTGGCTCTGTAACATGATTCCTCAGTTCTTCTCTTATATAAATCATTAGTCTCTGTACCATAACACACTAGTACTTTTGCAACTGATTCATTAGTGATATTTTGGAACGATTAACAGTGGTTTTGTAACAATTCACCAGTGATCCTGTAACATGATTCTCGAGTGATTCTGTGACCTGATTCAATCAGTGCTTCTTGTACATCTTTCACTGTTTCTCATAAAGTTTGTCACTGTCTGGGTGTTTCCAATATGTCGTACAGCTTGGCGAAACTCAACCCATGGCGGAGATGTCCGCATCTCACGTCTAGTATATTTTACCTTTATATCACTAGCTAAAGCTAACCTAGACAAAGCTAACCTAGACAAAGCTAACCTAGACAAAGCTAACCTAGACAAAGCTAGCCTAGACAAAGCTAGCCTAGACAAAGCTAACCTAGTTAAGGCACTTGTGCAACATCTGGTTATCTTTATTGTAGACGTTTCGCCATGCAGTGGCTTCATCAATACAGATTCTAGGACATAAGTAGAAAACAGAAGAACTATATACAAAAGATGAGGTAATCAGTCCCTCAGCCTTGGAGGTGGTGTTTACAGCACCACGGTGCTGTAAACACCAAGTGTCTTAACTTTCATCTTGTCGGTATTGTATACCTGTCTTGCACAAAGCTAACTTAGACAAAGCTAACCTAGACAAAGTTAACACTAACCAAAGCTAACCTAGACAAAGTTAACACTAACCAAAGCTAACCTAGAGAACGAGTAATTTTCGAAAGAATAAGAAGGCACAGTACCGTGACTGGAACATTACACAAATGGCCAGCACATATTAGAATGAAACTAATGACGACGTTTCACTCTGATCTGGACCATCAACTAGTTACATGGTGACTAATGTGACTAGTTAATGGTCCAAGCCAGACCCAAGCGTCGCTATAAGTTTCATTCACAACTACCCTGGTACACTGTACACCGGGTACGTCAGGCCCATGCTGGAGTATGCAGCACCAGTTTGGAACCCGCACTGGGTCAAGCACGTTAAGAAATTAGAGAAAGTGCAAAGGTTTGCGACAAGGCTAGTTCCAGAGCTCAGGGTAATGTCCTACGAAGAAAGGTTAAGGGAAATCGGCCTGACGACACTGGAGGACAGGAGGGTTAGGGGAGACATGATAACGACATACAAAATACTGCGTGGAATAGACAAGGTGGACAGAGACAAGATGTTCCAGAGAGGGGACACAGATACGAGGGATCACCCTTGGAAGTTGAAGACTCAGATGAATCACAGGGATGTTAGGAAGTATTTCTTCAGTCATAGAGTGGTCAGGAACTGGAACAGTCTTGCGAGTGATGTAGTGGAGGCAGGAACCATACATAGCTTTAAGACGAGGTATGATAAAGCTCAGGGAGCAGGGAGACAGAGGACCTAGTAGCGTTCAGTGAAGAGGCGGGGAGAGGAGCTGAGTCTCGACCCCTGCAACCACAATTAGGTGAGTACATGATACTACTCCATGTACACCACCTCATCTACCCTGGTACGCATGATACTACTCAATGAACACCACCTCAACTACCCTGGTACACACGATACTACTCCATGAACACCACCTCAACTACCCTGGTACACATGATACTACTCCATGAACGCCACCTCAACTACCCTGGTACACACGATACTACTCCATGAACACCACCTCAACTACCCTGGTACACACTATACTACTCCATGAACACCACCTCAACTACCCTGGTACACATGATACTACTCAATGAACACCACCTCAACTACCCTGGTACACACGATACTACTCCATGAACACCACCTCATCTACCCTGGTACACATGTTTACTACTCCATGAAACCACCTCAACTACCTGGTACACATGATACTACTCCATGAACACCACCTCAACTACCATGGAAACACATGATATTTACTTCATGAACACCACCTACAACTACCCTGGTAACACATGTTTACTACTCCATGAACACCACCTCAACTACCCTGGTACCATGATACTACTCCATGAACACTACTTCAACTACCCTGGTACACATGATACTACTCCATGAACACCACCTCAACTACCCTGGTACACATGATACTACTCCATGAACACCACCTCAACTACCCGGGTACACATGTTTACTACTCCATGAACACCACCTAAACTACCCTGGTTACACATGATACTACTCCATGAACACTACCTCAACTACCCTGGTACACATGATACTACCCCTTGAAAAACCACCTCAACTACCCTGGTACACATGATATTTCTCCATGAACACCACCTCAACTACCCTGGTACATTTTATACTACTTCATGAACACCACCTCAACTACCCTGGTACGCATGATACTACTCCATGAAAAACCACCTCAACTACCCTGGTACACTTGATCCCTACTCCATGAACACCACCTCAACTACCCTGGTACACATGATACTACTCCATGAACACCACCTCAACTACCCTGGTACACATGATACTACTCCATGAACACCACCTCAACTACCCTGGTACACATGATACTTCTCCATGAACACCACCTCAACTACCCTGGTACACATGATACTACTCCATGAACACCAACTCAACTTCCCTGGTACACATGATACTACTCCACGAACACCACCTCAACTACCCTGGTACACATGATACTACTCCATGAACACCACCTTAACTACCCTGGTACACATGATACTACTCCATGAACACCACCTCAACTACCCTGGTACACATGATACTACTCCATGAACACCACCTCAACTACCCTGGTACACATGATACTACTCCATGAACACCACTTCAACTACCCTGGTACACATGATATACTCCATGAACACCACCTCAACTCCCCTGGTACACCATACTACTCCATGAACACCACCTCAACTACCCTGGTACACATTATACTACTCATGAACACCACCTCAACTACCCGGGTACACATGATACTACTCCATGAACACCACCTCAACTACCCTGGTACACATGATACTACTCCATGAACACCACTTCAACTACCCTGGTACACATGATACTACTCCATGAACACCACCTCAACTACCCTGGTACACATGATACTACTCCATGAACACCACCCAATACCCTGGTACACATGATACTACTCCATGAACACCACCTCAACTACCCTGGTACACATGATACTACTCCATGAACACCACCTCAACTACCCTGGTACACATGATACTACTCCTGAACACCACTCAACTACCCTGGTACACATGATACTACTCCTTTGAACACCACCTTAACTACCCTGGAAACACATGATTACTACTCCATGAACACCACCTCAACTACCCTGGTACACATGATACTACCCCATGAACACCACCTCAACTACCCTGGTACACATGATTACTACTCCATGAACACCACTTCAACTCCCCTGGTACACATGATACTACTCCATGAACACCACCTCAACTACCCTGGTACACATGATACTACTCCATGACACCACCTCAACTACCCTGGTACACATGAACTACTCCAGGGAACACCACCTCAACTACCCTGTTACACATGATACTACTCCATGAACACCACCTCAACTACCCTGGTATAATGTATACTCCATAACACCACCTCAACTACCCTGGTAGCATGATACTACTCCATGAACCCCACCTCAACTACCCTGGTACACATGATACTACTCCATGAACACCACTTCAACTACCCTGGTACACATGAACTACTCCATGAACACCACCTCAACTACCCGGGTACACATGATACTACTTCATGAACACCCCCTTTCAACTACCCTGGTACACATGATACTACTCCATGAACACCACCTAAACTACCCTGGTACACATGATACTACTCCTGAACACCACTTCAACTACCCTGGTACACATGATACTACTCCATGAACACCACCTCAACTACCCTGGTACACATGATACTACTCCATGAACACCACCTAAAACTACCCTGGTACACATGATACTACTCCATGAACACCACCTCAACTACCCTGGTACACATGATACTACTCCATGAACACTACCTCAACTACCCTGGTACACATGATACTACTCCTTGAACCCCAAACCTAAACTACCCGGGTACACATGATACTACTCCATGAACACCACCTCAACTACCCTGGTACATATGATACTACTTCATGAACACCACCTCAACTACCCTGGTACGCATGATACTACTCCATGAACACCACCTCAACTACCCTGGTAAAACATGATACTACTCATGAACACCAACCTCAACTACCCTGGTACACATGATACTACTCCATGAACACCACCTCAACTCCCCTGGTACACATGATACTACCCCATGAAACCACCTCAACTACCCTGGTACACATGATACTACTCCATGAACACCACCTCAACTACCCTGGTACACATGATACTACTCCATGAACCCCACCTCAATTTCCCTGGTACACATGATACTACTCCATAAAACACCACCTCAACTACCCTGGTACACATGATACTACTCCATGAACACCACCTTAACTACCCTGGTACACATGATACTACTCCATGAACACCACCTCAACTACCCTGGTACACATGATACTACTCCATGAACACCACCTCAACACCCTGGTACACATGATACTACTCCATAACACCACTTCAACTACCCTGGTACACATGATACTACTCCATGAACACCACCTCATCTACCCTGGTACACATACTACCCCATGAACACCACCTCAACTCCCCCTGGTACACATGATACTACTCCTGAAACACCACCTCAACTCCCCTGGTACACATGATACTACTCCATGAACACCACCTCAACTACCCTGGTACACATGATACTACTCCATGAACACCACTTCAAACTACCCTGGTACAACATGATACTACTCCATGAACACCACCTCAACTACCCTGGTACACATGATACTACTCCATGAACACCACCTCAATTTACCCTGGTACACATGATACTACTCCATGAACACCACCTCAACTACCCTGGTCCCACATGATACTACCCCCATGAACCCACCTCAACTACCCTGGTACACATGATACTACTCCATGAACACCACCTCAACTACCTGGTACACTGATACTCCCCATGAAACCACCTTAACTCCCCCTGGTACACATGATACTACTCCATGAACACCACTCAACTACCCTGGTACAAAATGTACTACCCATGAACCCACCTCAACTACCCTGGTAACCATGATCTATCTCCATGAACACCACTCAACCCTGGTACACTGATACTACTCCATGAACACCACCTCAACTACCCTGGAAAACCATGATACTACTCCATGACACCCCCTCAACTACCCTGGTACACATGATACTACTCCATGAACCCCACCTCAACTACCCTGTTAAAACATGATACTACTCCATGAACACCACCTCAACTACCCTGGTATACATGATACTACTCCTGAACACCACCTCAACTACCCTGGTAGAAAATGATACTACTCCATGAACACCACCTCAACTCCCTGGTACACATGATACTACTCCATGAACACCACCTTAACTACCTGGTACACAATGATACTACTCCATGGAAAAACCACCTCAACTACCCTGGTACACATGATTACTACTCCATGAACGCCACCTCAACTACCCGGTACACATGATACTACTCCATGAACACCACCTCAACTACCCTGGTAACATATGATACTACCTTCATGAACACCACCTCAACTACCCTGGTACGCATGATACTCCCTCCATGAACACCACCTCAACTACCCTGGTACACATGATACTACTCCATGAACACCACCTCAACTACCCTGGTACACATGATACTACTCCATGAACACCACTTCAAATACCCGGGTAAAACATGATACTACCCCATGAACACCACCTTAACTACCCTGGTACACATGATACAAACTCCATGAACACCACCTCAACTCCCCTGGTACACATGATACTACTCCATGAACATCACCTCAACTACCCTGGTACACATGATACTACTCCATGAACACCACTTCAACTACCCTGGTACACATGATACTACTCCATGAACACCACCTCAACTACCCTGGTACACATGATACTACTCCATGAACACCACCTCAACTACCCTGGTACACATGATACTACTCATGACACCACCTCAATTTAAACCCTGTTACACATGATACTACTCCATGAACACCACCTCAACTACCCTGGTATACATGATACTACTCCATGAACACCACCTCAACTACCCTGGTAGACATGATACTACTCCATGAACACCACCTCAATTTACCCTGGTACACATGATATACTCCATGAACACCCCCTTAACTACCCTGGTACACATGTTACTACTCCATGAACACCACCTCAACTACCCTGGTACACATGTTTACTACTCCAAATGAACGCCACCTCAACTACCCTGGTACCCCATGATACTACTCCATGAACACCACCTCAACTACCCTGGTACACATGATACTACTCCATGAACACCACCTCAACTACCCTGGTACACATGATACTACTCCATGAACACCACCTCAACTACCCTGGTACACATGATACTACTCCATGAACACCACCTCAACTACCCTGGTACACATGATACTACTCCATGAACACCACCTCAACTACCCTGGTACACATGATACTACTCCATGAACACCACCTCAACTACCCTGGTACACATGATACTACTCCATGAACACCACCTCAACTACCCTGGTACACATGATACTACTCCATGAACACCACCTCAACTACCCTGGTACACATGATACTACTCCATGAACACCACCTCAACTACCCTGGTACACATGATACTACTCCATGAACACCACCTCAACTACCCTGGCACACATGATACTACTCCATGAACACCACCTCAACTACCCTGGTACACATGATACTACTCCATGAACACCACCTCAACTACCCTGGTACACATGATACTACTCCATGAACACCACCTCAACTACCCTGACACATATGGTACTACTACACGTACACCGTCTCAATTACTCTGGTACACATATACCAGGGTACATTTCGAAATACGAAAAACTCTGGAAAAAGAAGTCCTTTCTAATAAACACATCGGCCGTTTCCCACCAAGTTAGGGAGACCCCCTCCCCCCAAAAAAAAAGAAATATTTTCATCAATCAGTCCCATGGATAATACTTTTACTAACCCCGCACCTCTTTCTAATCTCCAAGCTACAGATTCTTCTCTGCATAATATTCACACGACACACTGCCCTCAGCCTACTTACGACATCCGCCGACCATACTTCACACCCATATAAGAGCATTGGTACCACTATAATCTCATAAATTCCCTTGTTTGCTGCCATGGATTACGTTCTTTGTCTCCAGATGCCTCAATGTGTCATTCACCTTTTTTTCTCGTCAATTCTATGGTTCACCTCGTCTTTCATAAACCCATCTGCTCACAAGTCTACTCCCAAATATCTGAACACATTCACTTCCTTCATACTACCACCCTCCAATCTGATATCCAGTTTTTTATTACGTATTTTTTTTATCCTAATCACATTTTTTTCTAATGTTCATTTTTAATTTCCTTCTTTTACTTAACCTCTCAAATATTTCCACCAACCTTTGGAACTTCTCTAAAGACTCCCAAAACCATAGCGCCATCAGCAAAAAGCAACTATGACAACTCCCACTTTGTTAGATTCTTTTTCTTTTAGTCATACACTTCTCTCCAACACCCCTGCAGTCACTTCTCTTACAACTCCATCTGTAAATATTAAAGAAACATGGTGACATCATGCATCCTTGTCTAAAGAATTACTTTTACTGGAAAATAACCTCCCTCTACTACGTACCGTGACCTGAGCCTCACTATTCTTGTAATAACTTTAAACTGCTTTCAGTAACCTACTACCTATTTCATACACTTAAGAACATAAGAAATGAGGAACACTGCAGCAGGCCTGTTGGCCCATACTAGGCAAGTTGCCCCTATATCCATCCTATCATATGCCTTTTCCAAATCCATAAATGCAATGAAAACGTCTTTACCCTTATCTAAATACTCTTCACTTATATGCTTCACTGTAAACATTTGGTCTACACATCCTTTACCATTCCTAAATCCTTCTTGTTCACTGCGATCCTTCTCTCCATCTTACCCTTAATTCCGTCAATAATAACTCTGCTATACACCTTACCAGGTATACTCAATAAGCTTATTTCCCTATGAGTCTTACACTTTCTTTTGTCCCCTTTGCCTTTATACAGAGGAACTATGTACGCTCTCCGCCAGTCAATAGGTACCATCCCCTCTTTCATACATTTATTAAATAAAAGCATCAACCACTCCAAAAATATCCCAACCTGCTTTTAACATTGCCGTCTTGATCCCAACAATCCCAGCTGCTTTACTCCCATTCATCTTACCCATAACCTCACGCACATCCACCGCACTTACATCTGGCTCTTCCTCACTCCAAAAAGATGTAATACCTCCCTGGCATATGCATGAAATCACAGCTTCCCTCTCTTCATCAACATTTAACAATTACTCAAAGTATTCCCTCCATCTTTCCGATACCTCCAACTCCCCATTTAATAATTCTCCTCTTCCATTTTTAATTCTCAAATCCATTTGTTCCCTAGGCTTTCTCAACCTATTTCACTCAAAAAAATTTGCTCGTTCTCAGCAAAACTTGTTGACAACTCCCCACCCACTCTCTTTTTTACTCTCTTTTTACAGTCCCTTACTCCTCTGTTAACCTCTCTTTTTCTCTCCATATACTCCTTCCTCCTTGAATCATTTCTGGTTTGCAAAAACCTCTAAAATGCTTTTTCTCTCATCATTCCACCAATTGCTCCTCTTCCCTCATGCAACCACCTAGAGTTAGTGATCTACTGAACACTAACACAGTGTTCTGAACACTAACAAAGAGTGTGTTCTGCTGAACACTAACACAGAGTGTTCTGCTGAACACTAACACAGAATGTTCTGCTGAACGCTCTAACTCTGCATTCTTAAATCTACCACATACCTCTTATCTATTCTATATTGAAATGTCACATTTACTTTTATTAGAAGATAATTTTTTCCTTGTTTTAACTCATCGTAAATCCCGGACCTTGTGAACAGTGCTGAAGGACTCACAAAGGTTTAGCACATGCCCAAAGCAAATTTCATACTTATTAAATTTTGAATGTATTGAATTCCGAGTTGCTGGATAGCTGGTGACAGGTTACCTCCCTCGTAACAGGTTTCTACCTCCTGACACACGTGATCTACACACACAGAATTTTGCACCTTCCTTCTCACTTATTTATATCACTTTACTCGAGAGTGTTTGTATGTTTTTTTTTTCAGTTTTTCTGTATTAGTATTCAATGCGCAAAAGTCAATTAAATTCTGTCTGTTCAGCAGTTGTGCTGCATAAATTGTTATAAAGCTAACTCTGAATATAACTTATTACAATGTAGTTATGTACAAATTTTATGCTTATGCTTTACGAAATGTACTTGGGCTTTACCAAGTGATTCACTGAAGGCTTCAATCGTCAGTTTTAAACTTTGTTTAAATTTTACAGAGGTAAACCGTGTCCAGAGGAAGTCACGTGCACAAAGTTTGGCTATGTGGTATTCGATAAGGTAACAAGTGAGTCAGCGGTGTGCCTAGCTAATGGCGCCAAGCCTCTTTGTTTAGGCACTGATGACAAAGGAATTTATTTACCTACCACGACCTCAATTTCTGGTACCACGACCTCAATTTCTGGTACCACGACCTCAATTTCTGGTACCACGACCTCAATTTATGGTACCACGACCTCAATTTCTGGTACCACGACCTCAATTTCTGGTACCACGACCTCAATTTCTGCTACCACCGCCACAACCGTGCCTAGCTGTGGAGTGGCATCGTGTACGACTAAAGGAGTGTTTGCCTACCCTGAGTGTAAGTGTGAGAAGTACTATATTTGTAGCAGAGCTGCGTCAGGCTCAGGCCGCCTCGTCCTCCGTAGGTACACTTGTACTGGTGGTAAAGTGTTCCATATAAAAACTTTATCTTGCGTAACCAACACTCTTGTCTGTCCATATACTCAGGGCTGATTCTGAGCCGTACTCTTATGTACGAAAATTTATTTTCTTGTTAAGCTAAGATAACTGAGAGCTAAGAAAGTATGTTTTCTTGTTAAGGTAAGATAGCTGAGAGCTAAGAATGTATATTTTCTTGTGAAGGTAAGATAGCTGAGAGCTAAGAATGTATATTTACTTGTTAAGGTAAGATAGCTGAGAGCTAAGAATGTATATTTACTTGTTAAGGTAAGATAGCTGAGAGCTAAGAATGTATATTTACTTGTTAAGGTAAGATAACTGAGGGGCTTTAAAAATGTTTATTTACTTGTTTTAAAGGGAAGAAGCTGAGAGCTAAGAATGTATATTTACTTGTTAAGGTAAGATAGCTAGAGCTAAGAATGTAAGGGTTCATTTAAATCCTTAACGTGGGGATCATCTTGACGCTCACTGCTGCACAACCTTAATTTTCTCAGTATTTTTCCATAATTATGGGAACTAAAGCTGTATATAATATTTTGTCGTAAAATGCACGAAGTCTTATACTACATAAGTATGATATTCTCAAAAGGAAAATTTCCCAAAGATTTACAAATAAAAACTAAGCCCAGTTTTTTGTATTATTTATTCCTATACACCGTCTGCTTTTCTCCATATACTTACACCATTACTTCCATATCTTTTCATTCATTAGAAACCTTGCATTATCATTTTATTTACCATTTTTTACTTATTTTATTTTTAAATTTAGAGTGTATAAAAGGCTTTGTACAATTATATTAAAGACCAAATCATAAACGAAAAAAAATGAGCATCACATAATTGCCGGAGACATCAATATGGTTGAGGCAGAAGACTCACAGGTTTACAACACAGAATATATAAATTGTTTAATATTACCACCTGACCACATATGAACAAATATAACAGCTCCTCTAAAACTGGACATAATCAATGACAATACGACTAATCGTTACTAAACATTCCAAGTCACCAACGTTACCAAATCGTCAATCGACACTAATGAAATCTCCTTCAAACTCAACGATAAGGCATTAGTGAAAATTTAATCATGACATTATTTTTTTTTATTTATTAACACATCGGCCGATTCCCACCAAGGCAGGGTGGCCCAAAAAAGAAAAACTTTCATCATCATTCACTCCATCACTGTCTTGCCAGACGGGTGCTTTACACTACAGTTTATAAAACTGAAACATTAATTAACACCCCTCCTTCAGAGTGTAGACTCTGTACTTCCCATCTCCAGGACTCAAGTCCGGCCTGCCGGTTTCCCTGAATCCCTTCATAAATGTTACTTTGCTCACACTCCAACAGCACCTCAAGTATTAAAAATCATTTGTCTCCATTCACTCCTATCAAATACGCTCACGCATGCTTGCGGGAAGTCCAAGCCCCTCGCACACAAAACCTCCTTTACCCCCTCCCTCCAACCTTTCCTAGGCCGATTCTTAACCTGCCTTCCCTCCACTACAGATTTAAACACTCTCGAAGTCATTCTGTTTCATTTCATTCTATCTACATGTCTGAACCACCTCAACAACCTTTCCTCAGCCCTCTGGACAACAGTTTTGGCAATCCTGCACCTCCTCCAACTTCCAAACTACTAATTCTCTGCATTATATTCACACCACACATTGCCCTCAGACATGACATCTCCACTGCCTCCAGCCTTCTCCTCACTGCAACAATCATCACCCATGCTTCACACCCATATAAGAGTGTTGGTAAAACTATACTCTCATACATTCCCCTCTTTGCTTCCAAGGACAAAGTTCTTTGTCTCCACAGACTCCTAAGTGCACCACTCACCCTTTTCCCCTCATCAATTCTATGATTCACCTCATCTTTCATAGACCCATCTGTTGACACGTCCACTCCCAAATATCTGAATATATTTACCTCCTCTGTACTCTCTCCATCCAATCTGATATCCAATCTTTCGTCACCTAATCTTTTTGTTATCTTCATAACCTTAATCTTTCCTATATTCACTTTTAATTTTCTTCTTTTACATACCCTACCAAATACATCCACCAACCTCTGCAACTTCTCTTCAGAATCTCCCAAGAGGACAGTGTCATCAGCAAAAAGCAACTGTGACAACTCCCATTTTGTGTTTGATTCTTTATCTTTTAACTCCACACCTCTTGCCAAGACCCCTCGCATTCACTTCTCTTACAACCCCATCTATAAATATATTGAACAACCATGGTGACATCACACCCTTCTCTACCCACAAACTTCTGCACACTCTAAAACTTCATTCTTAAATCTACGCCATACCTCTACCTTCCTCATTACCTATACTCTTTCTAGTCCATCTTTCTCTCAGCAGTTGTTTATATCCTACCCTAACTACCTCCTCCTTTAATTTATAGACTTTCTCTTGTTTCTTACCCAGGGATGACATTCTCCTTCTGCTCCATCTACTTCTTACTCTCACTGCAGCTACCACTAAATAATGATCTGATATATCTGTCTCCCCTCTAAAAACATGCACATCCAGAAGTCTATTTATCAACCTTTTCATCTACTAATATATTATCCAACAAACTGCTATCCTCATGTACTCATTTATCACCTTTTTTTTCTTTAAAAATGTATTACCTATTACGAAACTTCTTTCTAAACATAATCCAATTAGAGGCGCATTATCATAATTATCATCGACGCCTCACACTCAAAACTTATTTAATACACACTCTACAACAGTTTCTCCCTCTTTAGCGTTAAGGTCCTTAGAAAATCGTTTAACACCTCCCAAAATCTTTCTCTCTCTCTCTCTCTCTGTTCTCTACACTCCTTTCTTTCCCAGGTGCTTACTATTACCCACTTCTCACATCTCACCATTATTTTAATCTGCATAATTCTTGATTTTAGACACTTACATTCCCTCTTGTCTTTCTTAGTTCTGATTCACTGAGATGATCCCAATCTAATCCCATTTTCATCTCTCACTGATATTCTTCTAACCCCTTTATCTTCGTTCACTTAGAGCCAGGACATCGAGCTTCTTTTTGTTCATAACATTCACAGTGATACTTTTATTCACATGTATACTATAAACACGCACATTCAAACAACCCATCTTTAAAATTTCCTTCTCTGTATGTTTAGTGCTTTACATAGGATAAAGGGTTATTAGCCCTGGCATTTTCGACGCCTTCTACGACACGAATGGCTTAGGGAGGAAGAATTCTCACCCACTTCCCATGGAGATGAAAGGAAAAACTATAAGAACAGGAGCTATTAAGAGATTACAAGTAAAGTCAGACGAGTGTGCATTCACATACATGAACAACTGCATGTGTAGCATGAACTAGATGTAAGCAGAGGAAGTAAGATGTACCTGTCATCTTTTATATTTAGGAAGCAGAATATAAAAGACAACAGCAATCGCGCCACTGAGTAAAACAATTACAGGTTTCCGTTTCACACTCAACTGATCAAGTCAGTAGTGCTTTCCTGGGTGATTGTTGTCTACCAACCTACTACCTACGAGGAGAGTAGTGCCTCCCTGGGTGGTTGTTGTCTACCAACCTACTACCTACGAGTAGAGTAGTGCCTCCCTGGGTGGTTGTTGTCTACCAACCTACTACCTACGAGGAGAGTAGTGCCTCCCTGGGTGGTTGTTGTCTACCAACCTACTACCTACGAGAAGAGTAGTGCCTCCCTGGGTGGTTGCTGTCTACCAGTCTATTACCCACGAGGAGAGTAGTGCCTCCCTGGGGGGTTGCTGTCTACCAGCCTACCACCTACGAGGAGAGTAGTGCCTCCCTGGGTGGTTGTTGTCTACCAGCCTACTACCTACGAGGAGAGTAGTGCCTCCCTGGGTGGTTGTTGTCTACCAACTTACTACCTACGAGGAGAGTAGTGCCTCCCTGGGTGGTTGTTGTCTACCAACCTACTACCTACGAGGAGAGTAGTGCCTCCCTGGGTGGTTGTTGTCTACCAACCTACTACCTACGAGAAGAGTAGTGCATCCCTGGGTGGTTGCTGTCTACCAGCCTACCACCTACGAGGAGAGTAGTGCCTCCCTGGGTGGTTGTTGTCTACCAGCCTACTACCTACGAGGAGAGTAGTGCCTCCCTGGGTGGTTGTTGTCTACCAGCCTACTACCTACGAGAAGAGTAGTTCCTCCCTAGGGGGTTGCTGTCTACCAGCCTACTACCAACGAGGAGAGTAGTGCCTCCCTGGGTGGTTGTTGTCTACCAACCTACTACCTACGAGCAGAACGACAGTTCCTCCCTGAGTGACTGTTGTCTATTACCTTACTACCTATAAAAATATCGGGTATAATTAATAATAAAAATTACTGTACATCTCTTCAGAATGACCTGGATAAATTGAGCAAATGGAACCACAGAACGTTAATGGAATTTAAAGGAGATAAATGCCATGTAATAGTAATAGGATAGTGTATCAGGCCACTGTGTGACAAAATATTGTGTCACACAGAGAGAAGGAGTTACTGTTAAGAAAATTTGTCACTGAAAGATCCAATTAGCAAAAATGTGAAAACCTAGTATGCTACTCTGGCGAATTATAAAAAATCTTTCAAATATGTGGATGAAGTAATGCTAAGAAGGCTGTTTATAACATATATTAAGCTGCAGTTGAAATATGGAGAGGCAGTTTGGTGCACTTTTATGAACAAACAAACGTGAATATGTTAAAAAAAAAAAGTCCAGAGATGAGCTACAAAATGGTTACCAGAGTTAAAAACACGAGTTATGACGAAAGGTTGAAAGCACTAAAGTTGTCCACGTTGGCTAATAGCAGGAAGGGAGGAGACATGATAACCATGAGTCAGTTCATATAAAGTCATGAGAGGATTTTTACGCATCTACATCAGGAATAACATGAAGCCACAAATGAGAAAAAATGCAGAGCAGAAAAGATACAAGAAAAATTTTCTTTACAGATGGAGAAGTAGATTAATGGAATGAAAGTTTTAATATAAATATATATACGTACATATATATATATATATATATATATATATATATATATATATATATATATATATATATATATATATATATATATATATATATATATATATATATATATATATATATATATAATATATATATATATGCAATAGGATCACAGTAAACAAGTGATTTTAAAATATGCAAAACAACCACAGTGAAAGAGTAGTGAAATTCCAAGCGCTTTCGTGACTACTCACATTTTCAATGTGAGTAGTCACGACAGCGCTTGGAATTTCACTACTCTTTCACTATGGTTGTTTTGCATATATATATATATA